ACATGTCACATGCCCTCAAAAGTTCACGACACATTCATTAGAAGATAGTTGACGACGAGTGCACCGAAGCGAAGTCCCTACTGAGTAGAGCGAGGCCATTTCCCCTTCTTGTCACGGGCCGAGTCCTTCTCTTGCGCCTCGCGAGCCTTTGCAAGCTTTCGTGCCCTCTCCTCCTCACGAGCAAGTTTCGCTTGGCGTGCCCTCTCCTCCTCTCGTTTCTTCCGCTCCATCCTCTCCTTTTGACGACGCTCTTCCTCCAAGCCTCTCCGAAATGATTCTTCGAACCGCCGTTGCCTCCTAAGACAATCTTGGTATTGGTCCTTTTTGACATCTTCTGGCACTTCAAGATCTATCCACGTGAAGTACTTGCATAGAGGAGGCGGTGACTGCATACAAATTTTTTGTTAGTGTTGACTCACATTTGTGGTAACATTTTACTTCTCGAGCTTACCGGTGGTTGGTCATAGGCGTTAGTTGGAAGTGCACGATCATAAGCATAGTTCGGGCATACAAAATATCTCCGCCCTTCCGTCCATGCTTTATTTCGGTCGGTGGACACCTTCACCTTGCAAACATCTCCACACCAACATGGCGGGATGCTGACATCTTTCTCCTTCACCTTGTCCAAAGATGCGTCCTCCCACTTGTTCGGCATGTCTTCTTGGTTAGCACACGGTGGCCTCGTCATGGAACCGGATGAAGCCATGCCTACAAAACCAAGAATTATTGGTTAACCATAACCCTACTTAACAATAACCACAATCCTAACCCTAGCATAAACCTAACACCAACATCAAACACACATAACCCTAACCCTAGCATACTATGAAAGCCTAACCATACCAAATTAGCAAAGAAACATAACATCATTCAACACAAATTTGCAAATCCAAGCCAAAACTAGGGTTTCCCCAAAGTAGCAAGATCTGAGCAAATGTGACAATTCCTATGGATGAAAACAAGGGGATCAGAGGAGATTACCTTAAGGGAGGGGTTGGCTTCGAAATCCACGGTCAAATACTCCGGATTTGCAAGATTTGACAAGGATTTGAGATGGGGGAGAGGGGAAGAAAGGAGGGGCGCAAGTCTAAGGATTTGGGTGGGGTGGGGGTGTGTGGGGTGGGGGTGGGAGGGGAGAGAGGGTGGGGCCAGGCTAAGTGGAACACAGACAGTGTAGCGCCCAAGAGCTAGGCGCTGCACATTACAAGTGTGGCGCCTAAGCCTTAGGCGTTGCAGTGCTGTCTGTGGGGCCGTAACTGGACCAGGGCTGCCACGCTGGCAGGAGGTGCGACGCCTGAGGCAGAGGCGCTGCATAGTAGTGTGTGGTGCCCAGCTGTCGGGCGCCACACGAAAGGGTCAGCAGAGTGAAATTTTTTTAGGAGCAGGTCAGTTTGTGATTTGATTTCGTCCTCAGGTCAAATATGTGATTTCTGTCGTGGCCTCCACCTCTTTTGCCTCACGTGGGCTGCCCTACCAGGCGTGGGACACTGTGAAGTATGTTCACGTGCTGGTGTGGTCCAAGTCCTCTACGTGTTGCTAAAGAGGTGTATGAGAAATTTAGGTTCACTCCTTGGCTTGGTAAAATGGAAAGAGGTATGCTGCCCTTCAATAGCAAAGAGTTTTTTGAGCAAGCTCTCTCTTCAACAGTAAGTGCATTGTCATGTAACATCTTAATCTTATGTAGTACATAATATTGCTAACACTAAATGGGTGTTGAAACATTCTTAATATACTAAACCTAGCTAGGATTCTTTTTTTTTTGTTTTTTGGAGTTTTTACTATTAGTGAAAAATCGGACCAATGGAAGCATGACACGATAATTAATGGGGGATCTGGGAGGGTACAATCCGTTGGTACATCTAGCGAGTCCACGCGCGATGCGGGACATTTTTTTGCCGGGGTGAGCGTTGTATGGATTTGATACGTCTGTTGGTTTGGCGGTTTCGGTTTACAGGTTTGCCCGGCATGGTCCTCGTAATCGTTGTGATCTCCACGTTTCCAGCGATTTGCATGCCACATTATCCCTATCATGCACTCTCTGGAACCACCTTTGCGGCTTTGTACTCTTTGTAAATCTCACACAAATGTTTTGCACTCTTTTGACGGGTTTTTACACCACCGTTTGCGATTATGGCATCACACACAGTTTCGTAGAAGAGTCTCTGATCGTAGTGTCGCGTTAGCAGCATCCTGCAGTAGTGTATGGAATTGCTAACCTTTCACCAACGTCGCCGCCGACGAACTCCATTCGCTTTGCAGAACGAGTGCTGCCCCGTTGTGTGGAGGTGAGGGGAAGAGAGTGGGACAGTGTTGCGGCCCTGCTGTCGGCTCACATGATTCAATCAACCTGGGTCCCAATTGTTTCTCGATGCCCCACATCGTTAAATTCCACTCGTCTTATCCACCGAGCTCCCAAGTGGCCGGGTCGAAACGGTGGTTGGGCCGCTTCCTTCTCTTGGGTCTTGCTGGGCCAGCCTGGATCTCCTGTGTGGCGACCTGAAAGAGATTGGTGACCTTTTTTTTAGATTCGCCTCTCAGAATTTATTCATTTAAGCGGGGAATTGAACATGGTCAACCATGAGATCAGCGATAACATCCATATTACATGAAACATCTGCTGATAAAAGCATGCCTAGCACATCGGTGAGCCACAACATAGGCTAGAGTAAACCCCTGAGAGCTAAGACCGCACCTCTCTAAACACTTGACCACCCACAAAACGACCATCTCCTTTTTTTTTTGACTGTAACGACCATCTTCTTGTGTCCACATTGAGCTCTTTTTGGTTCGATAAACCATGGCTCTAATCGAGGGAAAATTCCTATTGCCAGGTTAAATCACCGTACATTTGATGGATTCCCAACCCCTCTTACAAGAGAGTAAAGCAGCATGTTTTGCTCCTTAGGTCGCTTAGTTCATTCGCTTGCTTGGTCGTCCCTCTAGACTGGTTTTTTTTCTTGTTCTTTGTTGTCCACTGGCTGTGGTAAACTGGTTTTTATTGTTTTATTTATCGTGTTTTCACTTACGACATCGGTTTACATTGCTTTTTTGCTTTCTTTTTACCGTGTGGTCTCTTTACGTTTCTCATCTTTGTTTTTTCTTTTCTTTTTTTCTTCGGTTTTCTTAGGTTTTTTAAATATATGTGTTGATGTCTACATCTTTCAAGAACATTATACATTTTGCGTAAACACAAGAAACATTATTCTTATACACTTTTAGCATTTTTTTACATACACGATCAACATTATCTGAAAATTGTTTATTGTTATGTCTATATGTTTTTGAAAAGTCAAACCTGTTAAGTTTGATCAAATTTATAGAGAAATATATTGAAATCCATAATATCAAATATGTATGATTAGATTCATCATAAAATGAGTTTCAACAATTCTTTTTGTTTAATAGCGTGGATGTCAAAAAAAAAATTATGTGAACTTGGTCAAAATGAAAGAATTCAATATTTTTTGCTGTGAACTTGGTCATAGTTAAAAGAATTTTGAGTTTTCAAAAAATAACACCCCTTATTTTTAAAATTTTGTTTGTGAAAAAGTGAACTTTGGAAGAAAAAAGGGTTCCAAATTATGATTTTTTGAAGGAAAAAAAATCACGTATTGAAAAAATGTTGATCAATTTCAAGAAGATGTTCGTGAATTCAGAAAAACTTCTAAAAAATTTAATAATCTTCCATCGATTCAAAAAATGATTGTGATTTAAAAAAATGTTCGTATATTGAAAAGGTGCTCTTGATTTTTTAGAATTTGTTCCAAAATATTGAAAACAGTGTCCGGGAATTTAAAAAAGTATTCCCAAAAATTTTAAAAATGTTCACAAAAGTGAAAAAAATGTTTGCTGATTCAAAAAAAAAAAATAGTTGAAAACAAAAATTGTTTCTGTATTTCAAAAGTTGTTCCCAAATTTCGAAAAAGCTCGCCTATGCAAAAAAAAAACTTGTTCACGAGTTTAAAAAAATAATTGTACGCAATTTCTATGGTGGATGTTCGTGGGTTCAGAAAATGAAGGAGGTTGTGCGGTATTGATATTTTTTTTATAGGTCGATTGCTGCTGATTGATTTGAAAAACCGTTGGCCCGGTCAAAATCGTAAACCAAATCTAAAATTGAACACCTCAATTGGATGAAAGAGTTTCAAATTTAGGGAACACGGGGAATTAAAAGAATTGAATGGGAGAGCTCCTTGAGAAATTTGTTGACTCGGTTAAAATCAGGTGACATGATTTTAAATTGAAGACCTCAATTATTTATGAGACCTTAGAAATTAGGAACATAGTGTATAATACAAAAGAATTTAATGAGAAATAGTTGACCTGGTTAAAATCGGGTAAGCCAGTTCCAGATGGAGACCTCAATTGAATGTGGGGTCTTTAAAACTAGGAAGCTTAGTGTTATAGAGGATAGTTCAGACCGTAGGTGCGCATCGAATAAGCGTCTTTTGTGATACCAATTTTTTTCCTAGAGGGAACTTGATCTCAGTACATTGCGTTGATGCTAATAATAATATCCGGAACCCTCTTTTTGAGGGTTGTTGTTTGCCAAAAAAAAAGGTGGAGACGGGGGACAAATGTGTGTGAGTGTATATATTGTGATTTTTTAGGAGATATATATATTGCCCTAATAAAAGGAAAAAAAGAACTCATCAAAAGTTCTCACTGGACCCCGCTAAAAAAAGAAACAAGGAATTGGACCTTTGGTCGGTGAGTGGGTTTCATTCTCATAGATGGGCTGGGCCTGCTGGCCATGCTACAATATACTACTACTAGTGCGCGGCCCCCTTCGGCTGGAAGATAGAGACAGAGAGCACAAAGCGTCCTCTTCTTCTCGGCGGCGGCGGCGAAAGGCGAACGAGCGAGGAACCCTAACCCTAACCAGTTCCGATCCGCAAGGTAGGGTGGGCTCCCATCCATGACCTCTAATCACTAGTTCCTTTCCTAATCCGTTGCTTGATCTCTCGAGTCTTGGGTGATTGATCTGCAGGCCTGCGTCGATGGCGGCTTCCCTCCGCGCGGCGGCGACGAGGATGCTGCGCCCGGCGGTGCTTCCAGGGGAGGGGCGTCGCCTGCTCGTCCACACCCAGCAGGTATCTTATCCGGCTAGATCTGTGGCCCGACGTCTGATTGTTGCTCTCATTACATTGGTGGCGGTCCTCCCTTCCTTCTTTCCAAACTGATTTCACCGGGATGCACGGGTGGTATCCGTTTGGATTCATTTCCATTGATAGATGATTAACTGCCTAGCATGAAAGCCTTGGTATTTTGGCTAGTTCATACTTTGCTGTGCCATTGGTAGATGATCCACTGCCTGGCATGAATGCTTCTTTTTTTTATACTTTTGGTAAAACACACAACGATTTTTACATTTTGCTACATCTGCTGGTAGATGATCCACTGCCTGGCATGAAATGCCCTTTTGAAGATATTTTTGGTAAAATCGACATGATTTGGTCTCCAACGAGTCTTATATTTTGCTGTGCTATTGGTAGATGATCCACTGCCTGGCATGAAATGCTTTTTTGATATTTTTTTGGTAAAATGGTCATGATTTGGTCTCCAGTGAGTTTTACATTCTTCCGTGCCACTGGTAGATGATCCACTGCCTGGCTTGAATGCCTTTCTGAAGATATTTTTCGTAAAACCGACATGACTTGGTCTCCAACAGTTTTGCATTTTGCTGTTCCATTGGTACATGATCCACTGCCTGGCATGAATGCCTTTCTGAAGATAGTTTTTGGTAAAATGGACATGATTTGGTCTCCGACGAGGTTTACATTTTGCTGTGCCACCGGTAGATGATCGACTGCCTGTCACGAATGCTTTTTTGATTTTTTTTTTTGGGTAAAATCAACATGATTTGGTCTCCCAACGAGTTTCATATTTTTGCTGTGCTGTTGATTGATTGTCAACTGCCTTAGCATGAATGTGATGATACTTTGGTTGAAATTGACATTGTTTGGTCCCCATTTAGTTTTATAATTTGCTGTGCCATTGATTGATTATATCAACTGCCTAGCATGACTGCTTTTTTTTTTTTTGATATATTTTTCAGTAAAATGGACATGATTTGGTCTCCAACGAGGTTTACATTTTGCTGTGCCACTGGTAGATGATTGACTGCCTAGAATGAATGCCCTTGATATTTCGGTAAAAATGGACATGATCTGGTCTGCAGTGAGTTTTACATTTTGCTGTGCCATCGGTAGATGATCGACTGCCTGGCATGAATGCCCGCGATATTTTGGTAAAATGGACATGATTTCGTCTCCAATGAGTTTTACATTTTTTTGTGCCACTGGTAGATGATTGACTGCCTGGCCTGGCACGGATGCTTTTTTGATTTTTTTTTTGGGTAAAATCAACATGATTTGGTCTCCCAACAGTTTTACATTTTGCTAGTCTCATTGGTAGATGATCAACTGCCTGGCTTGAATGCCCTTGATATTTTTGGTAAAAATCGACACCATTTGGTCCCCAAACATATTTACGTTTTGCTGTGTGCCATTGGTACATGGTAAACTGCCTAGCTTGAATGCCCTTGATATTTTGGTAAAATCGGCACAATTTGGTCACCAACGTGTTTTATAATTTGCTCTTGTCATTGGTACATGATTGACTGCCTAGCATGAATGTGGTTATGTTTTTGGTAAAAATCCGCGTCTTTTGGTCTGCACTTGGTTTTATAATTTGCTGTGCCATTGGTAGACGATGATCGCTTTCTTTACAGTTTTCTATATGCTTGACCCTCTTTTGAAACTGAGCTTTGCTCTTCTGGCCGCTGGGCGCTCCCGTGGTTCGCGAGAAGACTAATCTTTTGTTACATATGGCACGCGATGAACTACCTAGCATGAGTGTGGTGATGTTTTGGTAAAAATTGGCATCGTTTTTTGGTTTCCAATTTGTTTTATAATTTGCTGTGCCATTGATTGATTATCAACTGCCTAGCATGACATTGTTTGGTCTCCATTTAGCTTTATAATTTGCTGTGCCATTGATTGATTATCAACTGCCTAGCATGACATTGTTTGGTCTCCGTTTAGCTTTATAATTTGCTGTGCCATTGATTGATTATCAACTGCCTAGCATGACATTGTGTGGTCTCCATTTAGCTTTATAATTTGCTGTGCCATTGATTGATTATCAACTGCCTAGCATGAATGTGGTGATGTTTTGGTTAAAATTGTCATCGTTATGTCTCCAGCTAGGTTTATATTTTGCCGCACCAATGGTACATGATCATCTGCCTAGCATGAATGCGTTGATATTTTGGTTAAAATTGTCATCGTTATGTCTCCAGCTAGGTTTATATTTTGCAGCACCAATGGTACATGATCATCTGCCTAGCATGAATGCCTTGATATTTTGGTTAAACTTGTCATGGTTATGTCTCCAGCTAGGTTTATATTTTGCAGCACCAATGGCACATGATCATCTGCCTAGCATGAATGCGTTGATATTTCGGTTAAAATTGCCATCGTTATGTCTCTCCAGCTAGGTTTATCTTTTGCAGCACCAATGGTACATGATCATCTGCCTAGCATGAATGCGTTGATATTTCGGTTAAAATTGTCATCGTTATTATCTCCAGCTAGGTTTACCTTTTGCAGCACCGATGGTACATGATCATCTCCCTAGCATGAATGCGCTGATATTTCGGTAAAATCAGTTTTTGTTATGCCTACAACATAGTATTATGTTTTGCCTTGCAAAGGTATAAGGTGTGTTTGCTCTTAAGAAAACCGCATGTCTTGTCAAGACTATTTCTTAGTTATCAATTCTCAATGCTGCTTCTGTGTTTCCAGCTTTCCAAATCAACCCGCGCCTACGAGGAAGGAAACCATGCCTTGAATGAATACCGTGCGTCGCTTATCCAGCAGAGGAAGGAGCAGCTGTACGTTCTCATTGCCGGCGCCGAGGCCAATTCCCGCACCTTCTTGCTGAACAAAAGTCTGCTCAAGGATCTCTCTACACAAGTCAAGCCTAGACCAGAGGACCCTCAATGGTGAAGTATCAACCATATGCAGACATAGACGTCTGTTCTATTTTTCATCTGCTACAGGAGTTAATATGTATAGTATTTCTTACCATATCGTCCCACCTACCTGTAGGCGCAAGATATGTAGAACCAAGAAGGTGACCGACTTCACTAGGTCGGCGGGTATTCTTGTTATTTCTGGGCTCACTTATTATGCCTTGACTTCCCGTCCTGAAATCGTAAGGTATGGTGACTATCTTGTTACTGCTGAGAGTGTGCCCATGATACAAGAGAGGCTGGAGGCGCAAGTAATACAAGAGAGACTGCGGAGAGTTGCTACTGCTGAGGGAGTGAACAAGCAAGATGGACATCAGCCTGTTGCTACTGCTGAGGAAGTGGACAAGCAAGATGAATGTCAGTGTGTTGCTAGTGCTGAGGAAGTGGACAAGCAAGATGGATATCAGCCTGTTGCTAGTGCTGAGGGAGTGGACAAGCAAGATGGATATCAGCCTGTTGCTAAAGCAAGTTGAATGAAGACGAAATGTATCTCTTGTTTGATGGAGAAGCAAGACGATATCAGTTCCATTACAGCTCTATGTTATGTATGTCTCTTGAAATATATATCCATCTATGATCTGCCACCTAGAAGTTAGTAGTAGTATAACTGGATGATCTGTGATTGCATTGTAGGATATGTGTGATGTTGCTGGCCTGCCATGTTACCCTTTGAGTCTAAAACTTGAGCAGTATTATAACTGGACGATCTGTGATGGCGTTGTAAGATATATGTGAATTGCTGGTGTGTTATGTTGCCCTTTCAGCTTAGAACTAGGGTAGTATTATAACTGGATGATCTGTTATGGCATTGAGAGATATCTGTGATGTTGTTGGCATAGTGTGTTGCCCTTTCAGTCTAGAACTTTAGGAGTATTATTGTTGCTGGAGGATCTGTGATGGCATTGTAAGATAATTTGTGTTGTTGCTGACAACATTCCCCTTCCTCTCATTCCTGCAACTTGTCTTTTTGAGGATAAGCGGGCCGCACACCCGAGAGTGTAGCTGCTCATTTACAAACAAACTCAGCCAATTATTTGTGCAGCCATGTGGATGGTTAGCAAGCTTGTGAGGCACACCATTGGCAGAAGGCCTCACAAGCTGCATCACTTGTTGAATCTCCACTCCCTTCAAGTTTGTTGCAACTCCAGAGCATCAGCCTTGGCACTTGGCAGTTGTTACCACATCCAGCTCCAGCGCCAGTTGGTTGCAAAACTCGGAGTTGTGCGCACTTGGGGTCCTCCAATTCGTACCTTGTTGATGTCCAAAATGTCACTCTGGAACAAGTTTGCCAAACCATCAAATGTTCTCTCGCTGCCTTTGCATCTGCTGCGGCGATCTTCAGTTCAGTGATCCACCGCAACCTCCCAATATCTGTCGCCCTCGCTCTCTCTATGTGGGGGCAGATCAAGGCCTCCATGAAAGTGAATCCAAAATGGGCGGCACTCGTTCGTTTGTTATTCACGCACATACCTTGCTCTCTCGAGTCCCTGACTGGTTCTGGAGTGTGTACAGCCTCTACTACCTGTTCGGCAACAACTAGCAGACGATGGCTTGTTATGTGGTTTGGCACTGCAGGTGATGGGCAAGTCCAAGTAATGCACAACATGTTTATGAATGAGAATGACCGTCTTTCTTGGCGCCAATGCCATCAGTTTGTAAAAGACTGAGTAGCATTCAGGAAGACCTTATACCAAGCTGATCAGAACACTTGACTGTAGCATATAACCGACAACATAGTTTAGCGGGGCGCTTTCCAGAAGGACATGTGGTGTACTTCAGAGATTTTTTTTTTTTTTAGAAAAGAGGGATGACCCCCGGCCTTTGCATCCGGGAGATGCATACGGCCATTTTATTGATTATTCTCGAGGACCTTACAAAGTATTACAACAATAAGTCTGAATCCACCATCTTGGCAACACATGCCACTACTCCTACCCAAAATGATGAAGGGGTGCTAGCTGGGCCACTACCCAAACCACTCACCTAAGCCTAACATCAAAAGCCGGAAACCGAAACATATTCGAAATCCCCAGCCGAGCCACATACCGGGTCTGGGGCACAATCCGGTCAGACGCACTCGTGTGTCGTCGCCACCATCTTCCGCAGGTCCGTCTTCAGATCATATTGAGGCTTCTACCTTGTCTGGCCACTCAGCCATCGGCGTCACCATGACGCCAGACAGCAACCTCCTCCTGCGCGAGTCCGTCTCCGCGCATCGGGCGGCGAACCTCCACAGCGCCATGCCGCCGATCCTCGCCGCCATCAATGAGTGAGATGAAGTACCGCTCCACCACGGCATGTACATTAGTGCTAAGCAGAACGACTCACAACCGCAAGTCATCGGACGAAGGCGAAGATCCATGGAGAAGGCCAAAAGGGGCATAGCCAAAGCGGTGGTCAGGGATTGGACCGAGACCCCGGCAGCCGCCACTGAGAAGAACAGGCTACCTCACACCGTCACCACGCCACCAACAGCTCCACCCCACACGAGCAATCCCCGGAAGACACCTTCAAGAAGGAGCACGGCACCGGATGCCGCCATCGACCATGCAAGGGGAGGGCAGGTCTTCACCTGTGCTCGAGGGAAAGGTGGGAGGGGAGAACCACACCAAAGCCTCCAGGAAGGACCACGGCGCCGAAGATGTCGCCTTTGGTGAGGCCGCCGCGCCGGCCAGGGGTTTCCCCCGGAATCACGCCCAACCACCAGATCCGTCCGTCCAGACCCCCAAGACGGCGACCGAAGCCACCAGGGGCTGGAGCAGGGCGCAGATCGGAGCAGATCACGGGCGGGAACGGAGCTTCTCCAGGAGCGCAGGACGACCCACGCGGGGGCGCCGCCTCGCCAACGCCCGCCACCCCCCCGCCGACCGCACGGCCAGGGAGGCAGCCCGCCAGCACCCGCCGGCGCAGCCCGCCGCACCGGCCACGCCGGACACCTCCCATCGGAGCCGCCGCCCCGGACGCCGTGGCCCTCCGCGAAGGCGAAGCCACCAGATCCCCGCCGCCACCTTCATAGGCGTCGCACGGCCGGGCCGGCGAGCATCTCAGGCGGCGGCGGAGGGAGGGGAGAGGGAGGGGGAGGCGCGGAGGGGATTAGGGTTCGCCCCCGGGTCGCCTCAGGCGAGGCGACGCGAGGGGATTAGATTGGGACGACAGAAGATGGAAAGGGAACCTTACTTCAGAGAATTTAGTTTCTAATTAATGATTTTGTCAGCCAACAATTTTCTACGTATAAAATGTAATCTTTGCAAGTGTTTTTCATGCAAGTTTTGCACTATACATCGTGGCCAACAATTTGGTCACCCCATGATGCCATTCCCAAATATTTCTTCTGGCATCTCACCTTCTCACTTTTTCTGTACCCATTTGCTGCTTGTTCTTATGATTCCACAAAAGGATTATTATGCTACGCCCTTGCCTTTTAGCCTTAATGTAATGGATGTAATTTTTTGTTGCACGTGTACGTCCATTGATATGCCAATGCATTGTCATTTGCTTGTTTATATTCATGTATGCGCTGAATCTCTAGATCTTTAATTTCTCCTTCTTATTTTAATCAGTACCACCGTCCCACTGATGAACCAATTAAGATCCTGTCTTTGACAAGAATACATGTATTCACGTGTACGAGTTGAGATATGTGATCTATAAGCTTACACTAGTTAGCCTTTATATGATCGATAGTTCAATACAACTGGTGCTGTTTGATAAGATCCATAACCGAGATCATTCTTGGTTGGAACAAACGTTTGGTGATAAGCTCCAAAGCCGTTGTACCAACATTTACTTGACAGAAAATGTTTATAGAGACGCAAGGACGCCGCCACACTCAACCTGTGGGCTTGGTCAGAAGATCCTAGCAAGATACCCAAAGTGCAGCATGTCACCTTCACCAACAACCAGCCACCAGGAAGCAGTGCTCCAAACCCTGCTGTCGGGCGCCAGGGACTCAAGCGGCGTGTCCTGGTCCATCTGGACCTGATCGAGGACTACACCCCTGGCGCGGACGGCATGGCTCCCCGACGCCCACGCACGCACCCTCCCTTCAGCTGGAGACTTGGAGACGTGGACGGCGAGTCTCGTGCGCGTGCCCGCCAGGACGAGGGCGACCGTCGAGAGAGACGCAACGACGACCGTGACAGAGATGACGAGCATGATGGGCGTGGAAGGCGCAGCGATCGTCATGAGTCCTCCTGGCGTGGCTTGTTTCGGAGCCGCTCCAGGGCTCCTCGACGTGACGATGATCGCAGCAAGGGGACACGTGAAGACCGGCGCCGTGAAGACCATGACTCCCGGGACCGCTACGATGGCGGGAGGAGGCGCGGCTTGGAGCTTCTGTCGCCGGACGCCCGGAAGGTTGACAGCGCATGTGTCCAGCGCCTTCCTGATGGGGCGGTGATCCCGGCCTCGGGCAGGCGGGCCCGGCACCGGGCGGCCTGTCCAGAGCGGCGCTCGCGATCCTGCGAGGTGGCCAGCGCCCAGCGCAACGAGGACAACCGAGGAAGATCGCCGCCACCCTCACCGCGGACCACCTCCAGTGACATCATCGAGCTGAGGCCGTCGTGGCTGATCCCTGACTGGCTCCGGCGGGCAGCTCCGTGCCTGGGTTCCCCGGTGACTCCAGAAGCACCTCCAGGCTGGGCTTCTCCAGTGCGACAGCGGCACCGTGCTGGCTCCCTGCCTCCCAGCCCCTGCACACCGCTCCATGTTCCTGCCCCGACAATCTGCACGGTGCAAAACCAAATAGAGATGAGCCTTGTGCCTGCGGTTTTGCTGGAGCAGGGCGAGGTTGCTGGCACCCCCCTTTTTGTGCCACTGCCTCCCGCCATCCTCCCGACGCCCAACTCCACCCCACCGAGACCGCCAACGACCAGAAGGAAGACTCTTGCGGGTGTGACAGGTCTGGACCTGATTCGTAGCAGCCCAAGACTGCAGGCAAAGAACAGAGATATGCCAATCGCTCAGCTGGCTGAGAGGTTGCTTTGCCAGCGCATGGGAGTGGTGGAAGAGGGTGATATGATCACTGAGGCTGCTATCAACAAGTATGTGGCCCTCTTTCGTGGGCAGCTACCAGACATCGCCATTGCTGCTCTCCGAGCACTATTTAGGCTTGACTGTGACCTTGCCGCAGCAGTCGAAGACGCTCTTCTGGACCACGGTGGAGATGCTGGCCTAGAGCCCCAAGGCCAAGGCCATGCCGAGGCAGCTGCTTCTGCTTCTGCCTGAAGCTGTTGCTCTGCTCCTTACTGTTGTAGCCCAGTTTAGATGATTAGTTGTCTAAGTTATGAAGACATGTCCGTAGTGTTAGTGGTGCCTGTTTGTAGCAATGATCCATTGCTACCTGATGCTGTTGCCTTGGCAAGGCTAATATGTACGCCGCCTGCTTGCAATGATGTAGCTTATGTTTGCAATGAATGAAAGTCTCTCAGTTCTAAACTGGAATGTTCGCGGTCTTAACTGCCCAAATCGTCGC